TACGCTGCATCATGGTGCTCACGAGCCCTCCAGAGCAGGTCACCATTGTTGGCGCAGGCCTTGCGGTACGTCAATGAGCTTGCACATCACTTCAACGTATTGCACATCTCACTAATCTATTCCATGCTAGGGCCTCACTCTTGCCCTCGCACTGCACGACCTGAACATACCCTCGACAGTTTACGAAGCCCGCTCCGAAGACTTCGACCAAGGCGGCGGCGTCGTGCTCTCCCCCAATGCCCTACGCGTGCTTGACAGCGTGGGAGCCTACTCGCGCATTCGAGACAAGGCTCTGCAGTTCGACGTCCTTACCTTCACAGATGCCGAAAACAAGGGCACCGACGAGTACTATTTTGGATCCAAGGAGCTCTACGGCTACAAAGCTATCCGTATCATGCGCAAAGAGCTCCTGGACGAGCTGAAGGCGATGCTACGAGAGCGCAACATCCCGGTACACTACAACCTCAAGGTCACCACGATCAACAGCGAGAGTCCTGACAAGGTCGAGTTCACCTTTGCCAATGGCGAGTCGGTCTCCACCCCCCTCCTCATCGGCGCTGACGGTATTCACTCGACCGTCCGCACAAGTTTTCTCCCCGACATTAAGCCCCTCTACGCCGGCTTCATGGGCATCAACAGCGTGGTTCAGCGATCGCGCCTCCGAATCCCAGATAATTACAGCCTGCCGGCCTCCGTCGGGGCCAAGCCCGGCGCATTCCTCCTCGTCCCGCAGAAACCCGACGGATCCGAGCTCTTCATCGGCTCGCAGCGCGTATTCCCAGAGCTCGACGGCCCAGGCTGGGACGAGCTGCGCCAAGACAAGCAGAAGCTCTACGACATGCTCCAGGAGAATAAGTTCGACTGGCCCGACATTGTGCAGTCCGCGCTTGAGGCCACGCCCGTCGAACGCATGGGCTTCTGGGCATTCTACGGCCTCCCGCCCCTGCCCAGCTGGCTCTCCGAGTCGAAGAGGATCATCCTGGTCGGCGACGCAGCGCACGCCATCCCGCCTACTGCCGGCCAGGGGGCAAACCAGGCGTTCGAGGACGTACGATCCTTGGCGACTCTGCTTTCCAGACTGTCGCCCGACGTCCCCCTGGAGCGGGCAGCCGCGCGGTGGCAGGCGTACCGCCAGGAACGCATCAAGAAGGTGCTCGAGCTTACGAACCAGATGAACGCCAAGCGTCTGCCCGAAGCGCAGCGTGCCAGTTTGCCGGCCAGCGCTATTTGGAGCGATACCTCGCTTACCCAGGGGAAGGGTGGAGAGCTGCGGTGGCTGTATGAGCCGGACCTGACAAAGGAGGCAGAGAAGTGGGTGGAAGAAATCGCGAAAGAATCACAGCGAGGGAAGAGCTGAGCAGTCGCCAGTTAGGGAGTCAAATATCGGAAGGTCAACTTTTTTATTGAATAATTTACACGAATGTTACGAGATCTCATCTTACCATATTCCATACCCAAAAAGTCTATTCCCACCGAGTTTTCGGGATTATACAAGTATATCAGTTTATCATAGACCGAAAATAGCCTCGCCACGATCATCTAGATCGAGGCCGAGTTGCTGCTCAGGGTCAACGTAGCGCTATACATCTGACGCTTGCTATCGCCCTGGCCCGATGGGGCGGTGCGGCCGTGGAAAACGACGTTCTTGCCGTTGGGATCAACGTCGATGCCTCCGGGAGCGTAGATCCCCCTGTTATCGACAGTTCGGATGAGTATGCCGCGGTTGCCGTACGTGCCGTCGATGGTGGTAGAAAAGGCATACTCGATATCGTAGTCGTCGGAGGAGTAGCAGTGAGCGCTATAGAATAGAATGAACCTCCCGTCGTTAATCTTATGGACGGTTGGGGCCTCGACAACGCCGTTGTTGCTCGCGCCCTCGTTGTCTAGAATCGTCTTGGCGCTGCCGACCAGAGTGAGGGCATCGCGATTCATCCTCTGGATCTTGATGGGGGTTGGTTTGTAAGCGCCTGAGGGTGTTCCCCCCTGGCAGGTGGTCGCTCCGCCAAGGGCATTGCCATCGACCTTCCAGACGATCCAGCGATCCGTGCCATCGTCGTATCCTGACGCATCGATCACACCACCATTTCCATCGTCGCAGATGAGAGGTGTCTCGCTTGCAGTGAATGGGCCGCTTGAGGACTTGGCGGTGGCCACTCCGATACATCGTCTGCCACCAGTCTTCTTTCCGCTGAAATACATGACATAGGTTCCATCGTCCTGTATAAAGGCGCGGTTAGCAGTGAACTCATTGATGAACAGTGTCATGTTCACTTACATTCTTATTAACATCGGGCGCCCAGAGACCGGCATCACTCGTATCGATCCAAGACGGTAGGTTTGGGAGCGCATCGGTCGAGGTCAGGGTCCATGACCTGGCGTCAGACGAGGTGGCGATGGGGATTCTCTTGCTGTTAGAGGATGTGGCGTACGCCTTCCACGAGCCATCACCCCAGATGATAGCAGGATCCGGGAAGTCGACTCCCAGAGCCGGCCCAAAGATTTCACGGGCCCCCAGTCCGTTGGATTCGCTCGTTACATCCATCTTTACAATGTTCTCCAGCTGGATCGAAGGCAGATTTTCGCCTCGGGTTTGTCCTGCTGGAACTGCCGCGGCCAAGCCAGCTGCTGCGACTGCAAGAGAAAGGCCCTTCATGGTGGTGTCAGACGAATTATGAACAAAAAGGGATGAATTGAAGGTCCGAATATTTACAACACCAGTTGAGAATGAGAAAGCTGCATCGCTGAGATATGATGCATCCGATCATTCATATACAATGGCCAGCATCCCGGGAAAACTACGTAACGCGTACAGAAATACCCTTGGCTCTCACGTACCATGTCGTAAATATAGCACCTTCTGTCGCAGATCCCGGATGTGTTGAGGGGGTTACCCCTGCTCCCAAGACCCTCAGCCAGCACGGATCAGGTAGGTATCAACACTTGCAATGGAGAGGGTTGCCATGACTTACTCATTACTCATGGTGGCGATGGTGGTCGACTCTTTTTGAAGGCTGAGATCGAATGCGGAATTAGACTCTGGCGTTTGCTTTGCCAAGTTGGTGAAGCATCGCGAGTATTCGAAGCACTTATAAATGGCCACCAAAACCATGAATTCCCTCTCTAGTCGCCATATTTTGGCATAGAATGTCACTGCATTTTAGTGCTTATTCCAGTAACTGGGTCTCTTATGATACTTGAAACAAAGCCACCTTCTATCGTTGCATAACGTCAATTGATGCGGCGCAGCACGGTTTCCAAGAATTCTAGAAAGGTATTAAGGGGTTTTCATTAGCCGACGAAAATCATCGCCAGCTTCCCAGAAGAATACACTCATATGCTAATCTTGAGCAATTTTTCCGCATTCTTGTAGGCCACCATCTCGAGCTGATCCTTGGTCATCAAACCACTATCCTCCAGCTCCTTGAACCATTTCAGGCCAGCCTCGTTCGAAGAAAAGGGGTAGTCCACGCTGTACATGATATGGTCAATCTTGGTGTTCCCAAGAATGCACCGCATAGGGTCCAAGCCCCATACGGAGGATGTGGTGATGAATATGTTCTCATCCCAGACCTGCTTAAAGGGGCGCGTTCGTTGGCCCATCCTCGCCTCGTTATTGTGAATACGCTGGAGCATGAACGGCATCATTTCCCCAAAATGACCAATAATGAGTTTCAGCCTCGGGAACTTGTCGAAAACTCCCGCGCAATGGAGGCGAAGAACATGCAGGCCGACCTCGCTGTGCCAACCCCACATCGAGCTGGCCAAGGCTCCCGTGGACTGGAGAGAATAATTGCCGATGTATGAATTCCGAAACATCTCTTCCGTAGGCCATGCGGGATGGAGGTAGATGGGGACGTCAAGCTCCTGGGCTTTGGTCCAAAGCACATCGTACTCTGAGCCGTCACAGAAGCCCTTCTGAGTCTTATGGTCGACCAAAGCGCCGACGAAGCCGAGCTCAGTAACAGTCCGCTCCAATTCGGCCGCAGCGGCTTCGGGCTCTGCGAGGGGGAGTATAGCGAACGCAGCGAATCGCTTCTTCGTCTGTGCTGATTTGTTGATCTCCTTTGCGAGCTGGTCATTACCCGCCTGGCACACACTAGGTGAGGGGTCCTCAGAAAGGCAGTGCGAGATGACTTGCAAAGCTATATTTCCCTTATCCATGTCCTTGATGCGTATCTCATTGGCATCGAATAGTTTGTCTAGCAGACCGGGCCAATCCCCGAATTTCCGCTTCATTGGATTGTCGAATGAATTGAAGACAACATCACTATACCAGTGTTCTTCGAGGGTGATGAGTGGAGGTGTCATATTGGACTATGCCTGGGAAATAAAACTGATGACTGCCAAAAGTAGGCCCAAGGTTTGAACGTACGAAGGTAGTCTGATGAGAAGGAAGTGCGTAAGAACTTGAAAATCCGAGGTTCAAGGCGCCGTTACTCATTCTCTTATAGAGGCAACTTCTCTTTGATTACCGCTTCGGGAAGCCACTCTCTGATTGGCCCTCCTTCCAGGCGGTGCCACAGAGTATGCGGATCATTTGATGATGGCAACTTTTGCTCCATTTCTAGCCGTTGGACAATGATTTTTAGTGCGTCCAAAAAGGGAAGCCACTCTCTCATTGGACGGCCATTTGCGGGCACTATCACCAGTTGGAGTATTCGTGATCACCCTGAAGACTTCAGGATCAACATGTACCCAGTAGTATCACTGAATACCGATCTAGAAACCGCTCTCATATTGGGCCTTGGAGAGATGAGACCCACATTATCGGCTGCTGGCGTCATGTTCGAGATATCGCCTCGGGGGATGCTAAGGTCCGACGCCTCTCTCGTTGCTCTCAGTCCATAAGAGAGCAGTATATATACCGTTGCCCTGTCCTTGACATTCAAAATATTATATCCGCATCTCTCCAGCGATACTTTTCTTCCTGTACTCTTATGAGTCGATTTCGTATTTTCAAGCCGCAAGCTTCCATCACAAGGTTTCGTCAGCCCTATACAATGTCCGCCCGACCACGCAATCTTCCACTTCATGCCAATGCGGAAAACTGCACTGGCCGTACCTTCATTGTGACGGGTGCGAATTCCGGCTTGGGCTATGAGGTGACCAAGCACCTCGTGAGGGCCGGGGCTTCCAAAGTCATCATGGCTGTGCGCAACACCGATTCTGGCAAGGCTGCCAAGAGCCAGATCGAGGCCGAGCTCGGCCACGAAGATATTCCCGCTGAAGTCTGGCCGATTGACCTTGCGAGCTATTCTTCAGTTAAAGCGTTCGCGAAGAGGGCTACCGACGAGCTGAGCCGCATAGACGCTTTGATTGAGAATGCTGGCGTCTTTGACTTCAAGCGCATCATGGTCGAGGGCCACCTCTCGACGGTCACAGTCAATATCATCAGTCCCTTTCTTCTTGCCGTACTTCTTCTTCCGAAGCTGAAGGAGACCGCAGAGAAATCTGCCTTACCCCCTCATATCGTGTTCGTCGGGAGTAGTTACGGCTTCAAGAATGAGGAAGAATGGAACTTGATCAAAGACGATCCACTTGCAAACATGGATGCCAATGGACTTGCCGAGGTGCCTGTCGATACTCACCAGACGTAAGATTCCGCTCGGAACTACTGCCGTTTATGCTAATTCTCTGCAGTTACTCGCTGACTAAACTCGTCGTCATCATGGGGGCACGTCAACTCGCCCAAAGGTTCCCCGTCTCGAGTACCGGAGTTGTGATCAATGCAGTCGCCCCAGGGCTCTGCATGACCAACTTGGCTCGTAATGGACCCCCCGAGTTCCAAAAGGAGATGGCTAAAAGGGTAGAAATGTACGGGCGGACCGCGGAGCAGGGCAGTAGGACGCTCCTACACGCGGTGTTTGCTGGTAGAGACAGCCACGGTCGGTTTCTTGACTCTTGCCAAATTGCAGAGTAAGTCTATTTCCTCAAGGCCAGGCCTGGATCTCTTCCTAGAGCGCTAATGAATCTTCGCCCTCAGTGATAGATTGCCTGACTGGATGACAAACGCAGAGGGTCAAGCCTCTGAAAGTAACACTTGGAATGCCGTTGTCTCAGAGCTCCAGATCGCAGAGCCTGGCATGATGGAAAATGTGTTGAAAGCCTAGCTATAGAGGAGGGACTGTTCAACTAGCCATCAGTGTCTGCGTGTGGAACACCACGAGACGCGCGCTGAGGGCTGTTTTATCTCGGTAGTTTGTAGATATCTAGTGATTTCGCTAGAATCGAGATCGTAAGCTCAGGAGAAGCACCGATACTTCTTTCTTTCTTTCCAAAAGTAAGATTTCAAATGACCCTAGAACCCGCACAAGAGCCGTGCCGGTTTGTTATGTATCCCGTCTATCCAAGGGTATTTGTCCATGACGCAAGCCAGCTCCTCCCAAGTGTGTAGGTCTAGAATTTTTGTTGCCTTGGAGACCGCAGAGACCAACCAGCCATCTTGGAATTGTGAGAACACTGAAGCCCCACTGACTAGAAGTATCCAAAGCAGTACTTCTTGGGTATATTCCGCAGTAGCGAAATCCCGTTGCATGGCTAAGTGGATTTGGTGGGAAAGGAGTGGACAATGCGGCATTGTACCATCAAGCTGATGCATGAATGGCATCAGGAATGCTATTAGTCCCAGCTGTACGGCATTATCAATCTCAGATGCCGGACGTGGTCCTCCCAGAGGCCCAAAGTGAATTAGTCGATGGCCGAGGCGAAGGAGCGTAATATGAAATGATCGAGTATGTAGAGCTGTTCGAAGCCCAACATGAGCGTCATTAACTTGCCGGCCAAGGCAGGTAATGTGTTTAGCAAGGCTCTGTAGCTGAATGCTTAGCCCAGGACAGTCGCTAAATCCGCAAGACTCCAGCTCGTGCGCTATCGTCAAGGACTCGGAAAGCCACGGTATGCTAGTGCTGTCGTTGGTAATACTTGCGACATCAAAGCGCGGTGTTGTACCGATGTAGAGAGCCAAATCAAGGTCAAGCCTAGGGACTCGATTAGTATTCCTTCTGAAGAGCGGCTCCAGTTTCCCTTCAGTTACTAACCTGGCGATCTTTTGACCAAGGGAGGGCTCATCCCTGATAAGTCTCGCGATTCCTCCTCGCATTTCAGCCATGCTGTAGAGACCATCGAGATGTACGAGACTCTCGAGAAATCGGCCGCGCAAACGTTCGTATTGGGCAATCATGACCACCACCGCTAGGTTCGCATTGGAGACCGGGTTCCCTTGGGACAGCCTTGAGTTGATCAAGTAAACTGTTCGACCTTGGTGTTGTAAAGCAAGGGCCGGATCCTCCCCCTGCGTCATCACGTTGTTCAGACTGGTGATAGATATGGCCATTACGATATGAAAATCTAGAGCTGTTCTTAGCACATAGACAGCGCCAGGGGGTGAGGGTAGAGGCTTTCCATACATGCTTCGTCTTCAAATGCGAGCTGAAACCACATTGTAGGAGGACCCTTGTGGGCTTGAAAGGCGTCGGACAATTGCGGCGTGTAATGCATGCGGCAGAAGAAAGTTACAGCTGCAGGCTATCAGCCTTTGTCCATGAAGGCTACTCACGTCGTAGTCGTATGCACGAGGGAATACCTTTGTGAACTAGTGCACGAGATTCGCCGAGAAAGTCGATAGGCAATGAAGATATAGAAACTCCATCGCCAATCTGGCGGTCAAATGTACTCAGTGCATGTTGTCGTGGTTGGGCTCGAGTATCGTGTGGTTCTGGCGATGGAAGAACACGTTCAGGCACGGTCACTTGAACAGGTCTTGGTCTTGGGCCGGGCAGATCCTTCCTTGACCGTCGCACCAGTGTTTTCCCCAGGTTCTTTCCCGTAGCAGCATGGCTTCGGATGCGCCGCCTCGCAGCGGGGTTGATCGGAGCGTTGTTGTTAATAAATTCGAACGACATGGTGTTGCACCAATGGAGATCTCGGAGCCTCGGACAGACACGGAGAAAAGGCCGGTGGTGATAGAAGGGGAAATGGGGTGGTCAACCGAGCATTAACCGACGTGCGATACACCCAGATTACTCACCGCGGTGAGTGCAAGGTGAACTCGGTGAGACCTGGAGCTGAGGTCGTGAGAATCCCAGCCGTTGACGCAGCGGGCTCCTCCCTCAACTCCGGGCTATTAAAGGGGCCCCAATAGATTGATGGTCACGCTAATCCATTGCATTAATGCAGGTACGCCAGATGGCTTGGTGGGTGTGATTGAAAGTGACTTCGAGAGTACTTGATGCGCCCATGCTAGGCTCACACCCCATAGCACCGTCTTGTGTTGCATCGCAGGCTGCATCTTGCTGTGTTACACCGCGTTATCACATCTGATTCTTACATCCAGGACCCGTAGACATCCATACAATGCGCGTGATTGAATGATTGTATGATCGAGATACGAGGGTAGTATTCAACATGACTCAACCTCATCCAGCTGACGAACTACCCTAGACCACTGAATACCTAATCACGTTTCTAGCTTATAATGCTGCGAGGTGGAAGAACTTTATCATTTCTAAATCTCAGCTGGGAATCTTCTCTAATAGGAATTCTTACTGTCCTGTCTGCTGCATAGATCAAGATATAGATAACGACAGATAACCTCTGATGCTCATCACGCGGTAACTCATCCTGCCAAAATCATTTCTGCATTTAAACTTATATACTCTAACCGATAATCTGCACGCGACATTGTTATTCTCCGTTAGCAAGAGCTGTAAGACGTGATTCATCCCCATTGAATGTGTTGGAATCGCCGCCCTGAGAATACTCCGAGTTGTACTGCCAGATCGTATGAAAGCCCCAACCGGCGGGAATCTCGCCAACGGTGCTGGCATAGCGCGCCACCCACAGAGGGCACCGATCGGCAAACTTGGGACTGTTGCCAGTGCACTTGGTCCACCAGTCGAGGGTGGTGTAGATGACAGGGTAGCGGGTAGTTGCAGCGTGGTAGGCCGTCACGAAGTCCTCAACCCAGTTGACCATGGCGGACTGTGAAAGGCCGTAACAGGTGTCGCCGCTGGGGTTGTACTCGATGTCGAGGGCGCCTGGAAGGGTGATGCTGTCCTTGGACCAGCCGCCCCCGTTTTTGGCAAAATACTCGGCCTGGACGGCGCCGGAGGAGGACGCTGGCTGGGCGAAGTGGTATGCACCACGGACCAGTCCAGCTTTGGTGGCGCCGGTGTACTGTTGGCTGAAGAGGGAACTCTTGAATGTGGTTCCCTCAGTGGCTTTGATGTATACGAACCGGTCTCCATCTGCATAGGCTTTGGCGAAATCAGTCGACTCTTGCCAGCCGGAGATGTCAAAGCCTGGGACTTGAGCCACGGCAAGGCTCGCGAGAGCAGCCAGAGACGCAAATGTGAGCGACTTCATCGTGTAATTAGATTGAGGTGTGAGAAGAAAATCAGTGTAGTTGAATCGATTGGGTGAAACTAGGAAACTAGAGGATAGATGCTGCCTTTTATTCCAATTTACAGCAATGGAGGACCCCCCACGGCCGGGACCGTCATTATTGCAGATCGCTGTCGATCTCAAACCGATGGGGCTGAAACAGTTACCTTTTTAGCAACCTCTGCGGGATATCAGGCGATTCCTAGGACACGAATTGACAAAAAGCGATGCGGCTGAACCCTTTCGTGCCCCTGGTGAAGCAACTCCCCCCACATAGCAGTTTCACTTGAGAATCACCAGCGACGATCCCGGCTGCTTCAGCTTTGGCCTACAAGGACCATGCGCTGATCCAATCAACGTCCCACTAACATTACTCCGGCTTATGCGATATCTTCTCTGGAACACGGGGCCGCACTGCTATCCCCATTGGTTTGTGATTAGTGGGGGGCCGAATAAAAGAGCTTTCCACCTGCTTGAAACGTTTGGACTAAAATGTCTCGTGGCTGCATTTGGTTGCCTCCTAGCGATTCTATTGTGACCCAAGTGCACATGTTTATGATAAGCAAGGGCTATGCTCCAGCAGCTAATTGTATGGTAGCCAGACTCTCTATGACGAGAGATGTAAAGGGAACGTGGCATGTTATAGGGCCACGGGTAAATTTGAACATCTTTCCGTATCTGTTGAGTTGATACCAGCATCACAAACTTGAGATGTCGGGGTGTTTTCTAGTATTTGGGTCCAATGCGCAAAGCTATCATCACTATACGAGCTGGCAGTAGAGTATGCGGTTGAAGTAGCAAGGTTGGCTTTACTTCCAGCGATGGGGTCGGGTGCAAAAGTAAAATGCTGATCGATTGGGATCGGGTGAGTTTCCTGGTATTTTGTAAGTATATCACATCGCTATCATCCACCTATTTCGCGGTGACGCCTACCTCAAGATCAACTTCATCGTTATCGAAATTCATAACATCCTCGAAAACTAGTGATGGTGACGGTAGGTCTGGGATCATCGCTTGTGTGAGCAACCCACACGATAGAGGGGATGGTACTAGAGCCGTATTTGAAGGCAGGGGGGCTTCTATAGCGCTATCGGCGTGGTCGAAATGTTGGATATCCTTCTTAATCTCGAATAGAACGCGATCGAGATGGTCCGCTCCATGGCCAAGAGAAGTTTGGCGACCTCTCAGCCTCTTGATAGTGTCTCTGCACCGCCGGAGTCGAATGATTGCATCGTCACGTACTTGAGGGTCCCTTTGACGAATGAGGAGGCGTTGGACTGTGGTTTCTTGTAGCACAACCACAACGGCCGCGGCTGCCAAGAAGCCGTTGTTTTCGAGAAAGGACATCTCTGTCGCCATGATCGATACGTAATCATTAAAAGATCCGAGGCGCCCTGGAGATCGAGGGGTTGTTGGTTTGGTCGACGTGTTCCTTGTTTCTTGTTTGATTTTCGCATCGCTTGTTGGTCTTGTCGTTGCTGACGGCGTGGGATAGTTTTCGACGAAAAACGTGTTCAAGGCAGATTCGGTTTCATCATTTTGCTGTGTGCACTCGCCGTGGGACCCTGCTCTATATAAAAAGAAGCGTTAGAGTGTTTGATGGAGCGGTGTGCGTGATGGGACCGGCCATATTGAACCGAGATCGTGAGGACCACTATACTCAACATACCGCTTCGGGCGCCTTGCCATGACTTGACAGTCATATTCATCGAGCTGGCAATTAGAACACGGCCGTCGGAGCACGACATCGCAACGAACTTTTCGTCGTCTGCAGTCAACACAGGCACTGGTAGCTCGTGGCCGACGCCTGATGTTCTTGCAAACCTTGCTTGATCCTTCTACCCCTAATGGAGAGCTCATGCTGGTCGTGGTGTTGTTCAATGATGCTAGCAAGTCCAGGTCGAACGGCGTGATGAGTATTAGAGGGCTGGAATGTCCTTGGGGAGATCCGGAATCGTTCCATGGTATTTGATTCTCCGCAGGATTGTCCTCCTTTTTTTTTTGTTGAGAAAACCCGTTCCCTGCTCGATAGCTGAGCGCCAGGGTGTAGCTTGTCAGTCTCCAGAGACAGGTTTATCCATGTCGGAAGCCCGGGGTACTGATTGCCGATACTGTAAAGGTTTACTAATCGTGGACGATATATCGCTAGTTCAAGCTTGGCCATCAGGATCCTTCGTCTTCCACATGCCTTCCTCGGAAAGCGGAGTCCCGGCCTTCCGCGGAAGACGGAGATTGGAGCAGTTGCTGGGGTTGAAGACATAGGATACGAGTTTGGGAGAAGAACAATACTGGAAACTCGGTCGACTAGATTACTAGCATATTCATGAATTAGGTGACACATAATACGAGGTTCAAACGCCCCGGGAAAAGTCATGGGTCCATTGTCGACCGACTCGTCATAACCGCGGTGTTGTTGATCCATGTGTCTTCTGGCAGGGATATGATGCTCCACGAAGGCGAGACGCGGGGTCCGGAGTATTCAGGAACTATCGGTCATCCCGCAACGAACAGCGCAATGTACTGGGATCCGTCTTTGTAAGCGGAATATCTCCTGACACGAGACTATCCAGCCAACCAGCCAAGATTTTTTATTTTTTATTTTTTTATTTCTTCTATTCTTCTTCCTCCTTTTGTTCGTTTGGGGGCAGGATCAACTGGATGCTAAGATCAAGTCATGGTGTTGTCACAGGTGAGATTACACAGAATGATTTGCTCAAATGGTGTCCCTCGGTTGGTTGAAGTCTTGGTACCACTCTTCAAAATACTCCTTGCCTTGAGTTTCGTTCGGGAAAACACGCTGTTCATCGTACCCTTCGCTGTAGAACCTACTCCGATCATACGACTGCCACCTATCCCATTTGGCTTTTTCTTTTCGTCGGCTTGGCCGGTGAGCCTCTTCATCAGTTGGCCAGAGATTGAATTCGATTGTCTGGAAAAAGAGATCGACATCGGTGAGGGAGGATGGTACCCTTGACAAAGAACCAATGGTTCTCGACCAGCGGAGACGAGACCCGGTGCCCAATCTCCATGTCATTCTTATTGTGCGTCTTTCAACGTCGTCTTGGTGAGAAGTCCAGAGAGCGTGATAGATGGTATCCCACAGTTGGCCCATGCGTAACCCTTCCGGCAGGTTGATTCGCTCCAGAGGATGGGTCACTTGGTCGAAAGCACGGTTGATGGGCAAATAGCCGACCGTGCGAATTGGTGGTTGTGAGATAAGCATGCGCCGCCAACTGGCCTCCTTGCAGGCAAACCGCTTGTCTGGTTGGTTTCCATCACCACGTGTGATGCTGAGGCGCATTTTCTTCACCTCCTTGATGTCGAAGCCTTCTCTCGCAGCCCGGCTTTGTCTCGTCCAGGGCACGTCTGGGTCGAATTCCGTAGGCTCGCTTATCAGAGCGCCAAAATGTTTGCGCAACAATGGGTTAACGACGAAGTCGGCCTCTGCATCCTCGTCTGACAATGCTTTGGAATTGTCAGGCAGGAAAAACAAGGCACGCTGGAGTGCGGGAGACTCGCTGACATGCTGATTCCAGGCTTTGCAGACCAAGGGGACGGAAGCAACGAGAGTGCCGATATCGTCCACGCAGAGAAGGATCTCCTCTAAAAGTTCTGGCGTCGAGAATACCTGGCAGGGTGCGGGCAAAGAATTCATGGTGAGCCGAGCCAATACGTCTTTATCTGAATGATGTCTGCCACGAGTTGACGTCTTGTGAGGGGGCGGTGTCGTGACTTGTGTGGAAATACAAGCAGGCGGTGAGATCAAAGTACATACATGTAGTAATCAGACCCGCAGCTCCCGAAGGCGCAGCTCGTAACGGTCTTTGGATGCGACGCATCGAGCGTGTTATTGCGGCGGATCATAAGCTGACCATTTTGCAAGCGGCCAAGCTGTACCCAACCGCTGCTGCTTGGAGTGTGCGTCTTTCATTGGGAGACACTATGGGCGGAAGCTTGCCGACTGTATAAAAAGATGAGGAAACGAGTTTGACTCGCATGTGGTAGGGTTTGATATTGTTCAAATGATTGTATGATGATTGAAGGAAAGCTATCTGTTGTCTGGTCCGAGGGAAGGTACCCATGTATCCACCCTTTTGTTCAGCAAGCCGGCCTATATGTACCTAGAATCGCTTCCTTCAACTTCTCGCCGGCAAGTAGGCCATCAATGTCGTGTGCACCTTCTTGGCCTGGGCTCTGAAAGCTCCATAATTCGGACGCAGGTAGGCCTCCATCATCCTGCATGTATTTCGCAAAGCCGACACTGTCCAGACGCATCTACTTACTTGGAGGGATTCAAAATCGTCGCCCTACCTGCGGGTCCCAAGGTTCGTTCATGACTACTACCTAGGTACGTACGTGGTATGATGTGATATCTACCCATGGCCCGATACTTTAGTCGTGGTCTACTGTGCTAACAGGAAAGCGAGTGCCGCCACGGCATAACCATCCAGCCCAGTCTGTAACGTGGGCGAGATCGCCAGCTTGAACCGTCCCGAGTGATTCCCAGCAATTCTGCCCTCCAGCGAGCCGGTGGCCTCGGCCTCGTCCCACAGTTTCTGGTCGATGCCGCCAAACGAGAAGAAGCAATACGGCTTCCCCACCGACGATGCCAGTATGCTGAAATCCTCGCTTCCGCTTAGTCGACGAATGTCGCGCTGGTACTGTCCTCGTGCTTCCCCGAAATGTGCAGCAAAGGCTTCTTCGAGCCGAGCAGTTGTCGCAACATCGTTTACCGTCAGGGGGTACGACCTGGTTGTCTGGATCGTGGGCTCGTGTGTCGCCTGCGAGGAGAGGCTCTCAGTCTGGACGATGGATTTGATTCGGGCAAGCACACGCTCCCTCGTCGAGGGCGAGATTGACCGCGTGTCGATGGCCAGCTCTGCATGATCGGCAATCACATTTTCGGCATCCCCCGCATGGATGCTTGCCACTGTCACCACGGCAGTATCGGCGGGGTCGACCTCGCGTGACACAATCGTCTGCAGTTTGAGGACGACGCTCGAGGCCATGACGATTGGATCGACTGCTTTGTGGGGTGATGATGCATGGGCCCCTTTGCCGTGCAGCGTCACCTTCAGACTCTCGGCACTGGTAGCAAAGAGCCCTCGCCGGGTCCCAATGACTCCGGCGCGCAGAGGGACGACGTGACCGCCGAGGACCACGTCGGGGACGGGCACCGCATGCCTCTCCGGGTCGTAGAGGCCATCACGGACCATAGCCTCGGCGCCGGTGCCGCGCTCCTCGGCCGGCTAGAAGAGGAAGACGACTGTTCCCGCCCACGCGGCCCTGGCATCGACGAGGAGCTTCGCGGTTCCTAGCAGACAGACTATGTGCATGTCGTGGCCACAGGCATGCATGACGGGCTTGTCGACCCCGTGGACATCCCGAGTGCGTTTGCGACTGGCATACGGGAGATCGGTCAGCTCCAGGACGGGCAGCGCGTCGATGTCGGCACGCAGCAGTACGGTCGGGCCGTCGCCATTGTGCAGCGTCGCAGTGAGGCCGTGACCGCCGATTCCCGTCTTGATGACAAGATCTGGGGAGATGCCGCGTAGCTGTTGAGCAATGTGAGCTGCTGTCTCGACTTCGTGGTTTGAGAGCTCTGGGTTTGCGTGATAGTATCTATACAACTCCTGCAACGGGACCAGGTCTGGTCTGTACTCTGCGACAAGGTCGGTTATTGGGTTTGGCCCCATTGTTGAGTCGGGCGCTTATGTCGAGTCTTGTGCGTAGAATGGCAATTTTCGTTGACAAGAGTCCAAGAGATAGACAGCACACGGGGTGATTGTTCACTCTACGCCGGAGCCAACCGCTTTCATCCTCCCTCCACTCGAGGCACTACGCATTAATAACGAGGCGAAACGATACACAAAGGCGTCATTCTCCACTTATAAGATGCGACTTTGTGACTTGCTGGCGGTCCATTGGTCATGGAGATTGCGGAATGGCCTGATGCTTCAGGATGGCGGCATGCCCTACCTACAGCAGGTAATTCAGACCTGGACCACGTACGGCGACTTCTCGCCGAAATCAATGTACCGCTGGGTATAGACATGCGGCTTGTCCTTTTGTCTCGCACCCCGTACGCTCATGGATCAGGGGCGAAATCACCGAGGGGGACGGAAGAGCTACCTAAATCCGACATGATCAACAATCTGTAGACAAATGGAAACATCACTGGCCGCCGAGTGTAACTCAAAAGGGAGCAATTCTTGTATGTAGGTATCACACACAGGGCATACGTCTTCATATCTTATGGTAGCAAAGGCAGTCAAACGTATGTTGATAATTGGTTCAACCTGCTTCTATCCGCATATATGACCAGTTCCGCTAGTGACATCAGGCCTTTGGCTTCGCAGGGTAAATGAATAGCAGGTATGCTGCTTGAAAGTTGCCACATACAGTGTTCTTCTTCCTTCTTCACAGGCAAGCTTGGCACAAGGACGAGTCCCCAGTCTGCAAATGGTCGACGGCCATGTCTCGATCTAGCGATACAGTGTGGGTTGAGTTCCTGACATACTTTAACTGTATGTACTAGCTAGAGGCTAGAGCATGTCATTTCGTAGAGGTTTCTACTGGAGATGGCGAGTAATCACTAAAAGCCCATGGTTAGTCGGCTACATGCCAGACCGCATAGAGCCGGAATGATGCTGTGGACCTCCCATGGCTGTGAACATCTCATCGTCTCGAATGTGCTCGTAGTCCATGCATAAAGCTACGGCGTAGCACGCCAGAGCGTAGTAATATTTATCAAACACTCCTGGCGTGCCGGGGTCTGTCCCAGTCATCTCTGAGACGGGCCATGCCGAGGACCACTTCAAGCCGCCAAGAGTCTCCGTCCACCATCTTAACACTCACCCGGTCCACAAAGATCCACTGGGCTGTCTAGTTATGCGGTTGGTATACACGGGTGGGCCTTGCGTGAGGCTATCCCATTCCACGGCCAACTCGTGCTCTCGTTGGGCTCTCTTGGGACTGGGCCCCTCGGCATCGTCCTCGCTTTCGCTTTCCTGTATCCTTTGGGTTTTCGTAGTGTTGCAATAATAAGTCCGCAACCTGCGGAGCGGACTTCCAAAAATCATTACAAACGCTTTGTCATCTCACGGAGCTTAGCTGTGCTATGTTGCAGATCATTCTGCCTAATAAATGTGTTGTGTACATTCTACCAAGCGGAGTTTACTATGCTAGTAATCTTGTATAGCATCATGTACCTCTTATAAAGCTTGATTCATGACTGCACAAGCTCGACCACAGCAGTTCTTGGATACACCAGCCTTGATCAACCATAACTGAACGAAAAATGGCTCCGAAATCCATCTTAGTCACTGACGCCTCCGGATACATGTAAGTCTTGCAAAATAGCTGTCGCAGTGGTGGTTTAAAGACTGAACATGCATATGTGGTCCAGTGGCGGCACCTTTCTCGCCACACTCTTGGACGGAAGTAATGACTGGGTCAACGATTACCACATCTCCGTGCTTGTGAGAACAAAGGACCAGGCCGATTTCGCCCGCGCCAAAAATATCACGCCCGTGTTGTTTGAGACTTTTGACGACTCAGAGCTTCTGACCAAGATCGGCCAAGACTTTGACAGCATGTATAGCCTCAAACAATCCTAGTTTGCTGTGTTCTAACATATCTCAACAGTCATTGTCCATACAGGTCAGGGATGGCATCCCACTGCCGCCAAATCCCTCATCTCTGGACAGGAGAAGAGACAAAGGGAGCTTGGGCAGAAAGTCCACTTTCTCTCCATTTCCGGTACTTCCAACTTTAGCGATCGGCCGGTGACGGGTAAGTTTATCGACAATCGGGTCAAATCAGACGAGGAAGATATGTACTCGTACGAAAAGTACCGCGAATCGTTCGAGCTCTATCCTCAGAGGACTACAGATATCACTATTGTCGAGCATGGCGAGAGAGCGGGCGTGTCCACGTACATTGTCATCCCCCCTATAATTCACGGCACAGGCCGCGGGGAGTTCAACAAGTTCACCTTTCAGCTCCCCGTCATGGTGAATGCTGCAAAGAAGTGTGGCTATGTGGGTATGATTGGCGAGGGGACGTCAATTTACAACCACGTTCATGTTGAGGACATTGCCAGCTTGTTGAACACCCTTCTAGCCAGGATCCATGACGGACAGGAGATTCCCAGTGGCAAAAGGGGCATTTATTTCTGTGAGAGTGGGGAACATACGGTTGGCTCTTATGCTCAAGCTCTTGCAACAGTCTTGAAGGAGCGAGGCGTGATTGAATCCGATGAGGTCAAATCACTTGATTTGCCAGCGGTTGCCGATCTTTACATGCCTGGCCTACCTCATACCTTGGTAGAATTGCCATTTGCGGGAAAGTAAGTTCCATGTCCTTGACACTTACAAAGAGTTCGCATCACTGACTACGCTGCAGCTCACGTACCAAGGCCGTTCTGGGCCGCAAGCTCGGATGGAGCCCGAAGCATACTGGGTCTTGGACGAGTAACTTGAGGCAGGAAGTTGACGATTACTTGGCGTTTGCAGCGGCGAAGGAGCCAGTGCTTTAGATATTGCATGTTAGAATTGTAAGTCAAGAGATTGTAGGAGCTATTGAAATCGTTGCTGATTAGATTGTCTTACGTTTTATTCAGAAAGCTGAAACTTCAGTTACTCGCTCGATGACTTTGGTTTACAGGCGGTTTTGATACTTATCAGATTGGCTCTTTGAGATTCGTCCTCGTAAACTTGACGATCATGTACGCTGAGCAACTTTGTTTAGCTATGTCAGTTACTAGGTAATGAACACTGCTATAAAATGAGACTTTCAGATAACACGCTCCAAGCGCCAATGTGCTAGGCTGCCTTGCTCAACTTGTAGATAGCGGCACCTCCGCTAGCAACGACCGCGAGCGTTACCATCATATTCCGTATCGACTTTCTGACCCAGAGCTTCATTAAATGGTCGATTCGTCCCTTGAATCCGCTCTGCGTGTTGGCATGTGGGAATTCCTCTACAGGCACTTCCTTGCCAAGGAATTTGCACAAAGGGTGCCACCCATCCTCAACGCTCCATTCGAGTAGCTTCTCTTTAGGAACAAGGCCCCTTATCATGTTATTATGTTCTACCGGAAAGAATCGCCGAATTAGCACACAGCAAGGCCTCGAGTGAAGAAAATGATGGCGGAAGATAAAAACATACCCCGATAAATCCAGCGCCCATTTCCGCAGATGCCTCGCCTGCTATCACCATCCGGGGCACGGAACTGGCAAGCCCAAAGAAACCTCCAGTATACATGCCAGGCCCAGAACATTTCGGTGCAAAACCAGCTCATGATGTAGAGCATGGGGTTCATCTCGCCAACGAGCGTCTTGCACACGCTTTGATACCAAGCATCCTCGTCCCTTCGAATATTAAGGATAACCTTGGCGTCTGGATATGCCTCGATAAGCTCCGCGGCGAAGACGGAGCCAGCCGCGTCTGTGACCGCGGTGCAGTGGCCGAGGACCTCGTCGAACTCGGCGGCAGTGATCTTGCAGTCGCCATCGAGGATGCTCTTGTCGCTCGTGCACACTTTGAACTTCCTCCTCGCTAGATTCACCCACTTGTCCGAGTAGAGGGGCTGCTCGAACAGAATGTCCCAACCATGGTAGGTATAATCATAACCTAGGGTGATGAGGGCCTGTTGCAGAGACTCAGTGCCGGTGCGAGGGAATCCGACACAGAGAACCTGCATTGGTTCCTTTCGTACCCGCGGAGGTGCATATGGTAACCGGAAGACCGTGCGTTCTAGTAGCTCCCACGACATGATGACGATGTGAACATGTCGAGTGAGGCGGCGAAATCCTCCACGGCTCGGAGGGAGCAACACAAGCTATATAGTCACAACTTGAACCAATACGTCATTTCACAACTTGGCATTCTCACTGTGGAGTGCTTCCGCAAAAATACTACCGCCTTGGTCGATCAGTGAGCAATTGGCGATCGGCATAGCTTCAATTCGGAATCGAGTCTCAAAGAGGAAATTTCTTTGCGCATGGTCCGACGCTGGGAAGATGGATAGCTCTGGAATAAATCAGCACTAAAAAACAAGAATGATCCTGGGTCTCGCTTCGTCTGTCCACTTGGTTCTTTTGTTCTAGGTTTCCGCCGTATTCAAAGATTAGCATGTGCTCGTCAACATTGATGGTCGGGAAGAACTGGGCAGAATAACAAATCTTGCACCCGAAAACTTTGCTTCGCTCTTAGCACTCGCAAGCAAACTTGGTATATTTTGGGATATGGCTGCCCACAGTGAGCTAAGAACATGGAAGGTTCATGTTCTATTTATGGCGGCAGAATTGTCAACACAGAAGGCACACTATCCAATCACAGACCATAGATAAGTGGGCACACAAGATTCATTGAAACTGCCTTGATTCTTCAATTTTCACACAGAAAACTCGCCCCATTTTACAAAGTGATCTCACCCGGTTAGATACGTATACCTACGGTCATTTCAATGCTCTAGATCAATTTTGCCTTTGGATCCAAAGCTCCTCTTTGTTCCTTTTCCGCTGTTCCGGGAAAGTGTTATACCACTCAGGCTTCGGGTGAGCCTCGGGTGGCTTCTGACTAAGCTCCCCGCAGTCTCGGGGTACGTACCGAAAACGCGCTTTGCCAAATTGGTGCGTGCTTGCTTCAGCAACAGAACTAAGTCAACGGCAAAGAACTAAGTCAACGGCAAAGAACTAAGTCAACGGCAAAGAACTAAGTCAACGGCAAAGAACTAAGTCAACGGCAAAGAACTAAGTCAACGGCAAAGAACTATGTCAAGGGATACGCCAAAACTCCAGCCATCACCTCCTTGAGAAGCCCTGCCTCTGCCAACTTATCGACGACATCAAAAAGAACCAGATCGCAACCCTTCGCCACACCCAAAGCCACGGTAACGGTTTGCCACTCGGTTCTGTTGGTATACTTGCTTCGGTACTCTATCTGTCCAATTGGCACCACGATTTCCGGCATCTTTGCGTAGTTGACATACAGCCCGTCGTACCACCCCGTTACATATCGAGCCTCGGCAGGATCAGTCTTGACCGTGTTTGGTGGGATGTGGTAGCTGTGCGCGAAGAGGTACTCGCTGCACGTTTCATTGTTCCCGGGTAGGATCTCCCTATTGAACCAATCACCAAATACCTGGCGGCGACGCTGCGACTCAGGGTATCGCGCCCGAGTGGTAGGATCTCGGCCATCTGTCCACGACATGTTGACCGGAGGCTCGATGGGCGGGAATGCGCCCTCGCGGCCCGGAATCTCGCCGTACGCAGTAGCCAGGGGAGCGCCGATTTCGTCCCAGCCCTGCACGTTGTTCAGATCTGAGTATACATTGTTCATCCACACCGCTGGGGTTTGGGGGCTGGCGGTTTCGCTGACATTGCTATCCAGGAATCTCTTCGTGATATTGACGGACTGGTTGTCTGAGAGATCTAGAACACGAGCCATGTGGACGAAGAAATTCTTGATCATCTCCGCGGCGGCAGGTTGGGTGAACGCCGCTTGCTCGTCATAGCGCAGCATCTTGCGTGGCAAAACCTCCGGCGACGGTGCCAGCGGCTTGCCATCCGCCCACACGCGGCCAACACGAGTGAAGATCCCGGGGGAGCGGGCAAGAAAACCCGGCGTGTCCTGCTCCGCGATTGCAACGAGGATTCCAGTCAGATTGTAGATCCCATGGGTGGGCTTGTAGCCGTACACACCACCGAACCGAGCAGGGAAGCGCACACTACCACCAGTGTCCGACCCCAGAGCGAAGTCTACCCAGTCATAGGCCGTGACAGCGGCCCCAGATCCAGACGAGCTGCCGCCAGTAGACATGTACCCGTCACCGCGAGCATTCCAGGGATCATGAAAATCCACCGACATGCCGTTCCGTGGTGTGCCGAGCGCGAAGGTAATTGTGCGCAGTTTACCAATCAGGGAGGCACCGGCGTTCTCGCACAGTTGGACCGTCTCAGTTGTGTAATTCTGGTAGCCATACGCCTCGTAGTAGGCACGACTTCCACCAGAGGTTTTCAACCCTTTGATGTGGAAGATGTCCTTGACGCCGAAACGAAGACCAGCCAATGGCCCTGCAACAGGCGTAGTTGATGAGAGCCTGGATGGCACAATGATATCTGGTACTCGGGTCCCCGGCAAAGATACATGAAGCTGCTGGTGCCTGCCCGCCTCGGTTGCATCCACATAGGAACCATACATGAAGGCTGAAAATTGGGAGTTAGCCGAGAGAATGAAGGAATTATGATGTTTCATATACTCATTCACCTTCATAATTGTCTGGATGCAGGGCGTAAACTGGGGTCATAGACAAACCACCCTCTTCACAGTCCGGCAAGGTCACAACGTAAGGGCCGTTACCCAGCTCACAGTTAGATTCAACAATCGAAACACCTACGGTAGTTGCGAGGCCGGTAGCATTGAATGCTGAGTGAAGGAACAAATGCTCTACTCCATGCCTGCCAAGTGAATCGGCGACAGATGAGCTTAAAGCGACTCCGTTCTTGGTCCCATTGTACTGTATAAACAGACAGTCAAGAAACTGCTCGGCGCTCCAAACATCGTCTATTTCATACTCAGAAAGGAGGCTATCCAAAATGGCGGATGAAAGACTTTCGATGGGGTCTGAGATGGTAAGAACAGTGCACCCGAGGTAACCACCAGACGATGAGCCCCGTTTACTGAGCGAGTTTGTGATGACCCCAGCACGGCTTTGCAAATGGTACACCGCTGAATCGAGATGAACGGGTGCCCAAAAATCGGTACCGTTGAATTTCCATGTGAGAGCTTGCAGTGCAGGCTGGATAAAACCCGCGAAGGCTGGCTGCATCAGCAAGGCAGCTGCGACAACAATTGTATCCCTCCGCATTTTCCAACTTGACGGTGACATCAGAAAGATAAATTGCCGAGGACAGTTCCCGAGGACGGGAAAGAAAAGGATGAGGGATCGAGGTTTAGTTATTCCCGGGAAGACTATCTCATCTGATAGTCAAACCCGAATTGCCGGGTCACCGCATCCCCATGTTGTGCCCACTGACAGATAACATTCCCAGTCTACCGGGTCCATTCACATGAACAAAGATAAGAAACATCCCACAGCGGGGCTTGCCAAGGATATAAAATGCCAAGAGAGTTGATAAAGGAATGATAGGACCATGGCTTTCAATTACATGACGTAACAAGCGGCAATAGTCTGGCTCTCTTATAGCTGCTCCTCCGCTCAGCCCTGCAGATGAAGACTCTGAGATCCCGCGTCTTCGACTTAGCTTGAACGCTTGCCCATGGTATCTAGATACCGGTTGAACCATGGCCATAAAGAGCGGATAAGATAAATCCCACTCAATACCCGTTGAAGGATTGAACCCTTGCTAGGAAATAGAAGCCAGGCCTAATCATGACCACAGGGGCTCCAGATTTGATATGAAAACTAAATGATGGTTACCATAAACGTGTCTCCATCAAAATCGACTTCTTCACAAAGAATCCTAACCTCGCGGCTAGGATACCCAAGGTGAGGACAGGCTCGAAATAGATCGCCGTGAAGTGTGTCACGAAGATGTAGAACTTCTTTAGCCTTCCAATCAGCCCTAACTTTTCCGTCAAGTGCATGTATTGTGTTAGATAAAGATTTAGTGACCCAGAAGTTGCGTCAACATATGCATCCACATCCCAGCGGCGTTGCGTTATGATCTCAGGGTTACCAGGACCAGAGAGCGAAAACAGCTCAAAAAGGCGAAATCCACTGGAAGACTGCCCGGAATATGAGACTGTGACCTATACCTGGGCTGGAGAAGATGGAGACGGCATTTACGTCGCTGCTACTTCTGACATCGGCTGCTCGCCGTGTCGATTCGATATGCTATGGTGCCCTGCACGCTACAAGGTAACCCGTGCGCTTCAATGACGTGACCCTTCTCTCCAAAGCGATGAGTGGAACAACGAGATTCAGAAATAAGACCAAAATATAACTAATCGTTCAAAGGCGCAAGGAGGATATAATAACAAGCGAAAACTGGGTGGATATTGTCTTTGTTCGATCTAACTGTCTCATGCGGGTTCAAACACAGCTGACTCAAAGAATATCATTCTAGTCTACCTTGGGAGAACATCTCGATTGTTTGTCCTCAGTATCCCGACCCAGCCGTCATCCCTTGCAAGAGCTAATTCCTGCGGGCCTAACCTCCCAGCCATTCGTTAGGACGAGCGCTCGCTGCAGACCTGACCTAATTGAGATAACTCTTGGAGTTTGCTTTCGAACATTCAATAAGGGTGAGAGTTTAATTAGCTTGACTCAGGCAGTAAAAAACAGCAATGGAAGATGCCAGACCCGACCTTCGAACACATGGTCCAACGCAGACGGCAAAAAAACCTACGGCAACATCTAATTTTATTCTCTTAAATGAAATTCCGACTGGCCTGACCTCTCGGCCATCCTTCAAGACGAGCGATCGCTGCGGACCCGACCTAGCCATCATTCCTTCCTCGCGATAACTCTTGGACTTTGCCTTCAAACACATCGTCCACGTAGGCGACAAAAAGAGCCTACGACAGCCTTGCGGATTCGGATCTCATTGTCGTAAATGAGCTCTACTAGCCCAAAGCTATAGCCATGCAGAAGGAAAACTCTGTAAACCTTCATACCGATGACTCCCTTGCCGTCAAGACGAGCGATAGCACTTGGATTTTGCCTTCAAACACATCGTCCATGCAGGCGACAAAAGAGCCCACGACAGCCTTGCGGTTTCGAATTTCATTCTCAAAAATGAGCTAATTCATAGGGATATAAAGCTTTTCGAGCGATAGTCCCTGGTGCCAGTTTACTATTTATTGTGTTGAGATGTCGAGTCTGGCATCTTCCATTGCTGTTTAACTTTATACTCGAACTCTCTCCCAGTCCCTTGGTGCCTTGCCGATAGTCGAGCAGCTGGCCTGCTAAAACACCTTCCGGGGAGGAAGTGTCTGTGGCTCTAAGCCTGTCTCTACTACTCATTGTGTTGAGATGTCGGGTCTGGCATCTTCTATTGTTGTTTAACTTTATACTCGAACTCTCTCCCGCCTGTCTCTACTTGCTTGGCAAACTGGCGCCCTTTGGGTCGCTCTTCTGTTGGTTTGTTCATCGTCGTTTGGCGTCGACGATGGGATATTGAGGTGTTTCGTGGGTGTATTGGATGTCACTCATGTGACGATGGGAGAAATTTTTGGCCCCTACTTAGGAAGCCTGTTCTTTTCTTTTCATGACCACAGCCTTGGGCTAGCAAAATGCTCTTTTTTTAAGGTTTTCGTATTCATTGTGTTGAGTTGTCGGGCTCTGGCAGCTTCCATTGCTGTTGAACTTTATTCTCTTTCTCTTAGGTTCTTTTCTTTCCAGTGCCAGAGTCACTCCGTTTAAGGGTGACTCTGTTTAAGAGTGCCTCTGCGTGAGAGCGAATCTACTTAGAGATCGCTTGTCTTGACGGCAGACAGCCAGGTCATGCCCGTAGCGATCGCTCGTCTTGATGGCAGACAGCTAGGTCAGCTTCACAGCGATCGCTCGTCTTGACGGAAGACAGATAGGTTAGGTCCGTAGCTATCGCTCGTCCCCAGAGAGGCAGAGAAGCGAGGATGGCGGACATCAGGTGGAATAGCAAGTGGGCTGACGAGGTAGCTCAATCGTCATCGGATCTATCTACCAAGCGACGGAGTGCCTCAAGTTGAGGTCAAGAGGTGCTGCAGGGTGCAAGTCGACAACTATTTTCTTGGTCAGCATTGAATACCATGGAACTCTAGAGCCCAAGCCAAATTCCAACTTACTTGAAACTGTTGACTTTTCGTTGGAAGCTTCCTCAGCTTAACAAGAGGACACTTGAGCAGTTTGGGCATGTCGGTGTTTTGGTTCCTAGGGCTTCCGTTGAAATAAATATAAAGTGGAGTTTGGAAGGAGTTTGATAGTATGGGTCTGATTGTTGGTTTGCTGAGCTGGATGTTTGATTTGATAAAGTGATAGAGACTGTTTTTTTTTTTCAAGTCGCTTGAATGGGTGTTTTTTGGCTGATGTTTTGGAGGTTGGGCAGGGTGGAAATGTGGGTACTGGCCTGGGTAAGGCAGGTACGTAACGACTCGTGGCTGCCTTGTAAGCTCCTGGCCAACGCTCCTTCTGTCAAAACTGCCCAGGCGATCTCCATCACTTGTCCAAGGTACCCTGGGTAATGCACCACTGATCTACCTTACCGAACAACTTGAAACAAGTCATCTTGGATCCGAACCATCGACACGTGCAAATCCTCCACTCGGCTTAACATCGATATCCTTGCCTGGGCGCACATCTCACCGCGTTGACTACCACTCTAACACGCCGTAGAAGCCCAATCCAGGGGCCGCCAGTTCAGGGGTGTGCCACCAACCTTCGCCTTGGCCTCACCATTGTGTTTTGTTCGGGATGCCCGAGCGGAGCTATTACCTAGTATGTCGCCATTATTTTGCACATCATGCCCACACAATCCGGAACGGGTCAACTAACCAACAATGAGTCCAGGCATCCATGAGCAAGCATGTCATGGTTTGTACTGCCGGCTCTTGAAGCTTAGGAACATTGCAGGGCGGTCCTTGCACTCCTCGTTAGCGGCGAAAGCTTAAACGACGGGCGTTACGGCTTGCGGAGAAGCTAAGAAGAGCTGGGGAATACCCATGTGATGTTATTTGGGTCGACGACAAGGCCTGGTTTGGGTGAGCAACAGCTCCCCTTGACCACTAAACTAATCATGATCAGCAAATTTGGCATCAGTCCTCGCTACGATGTGGGCCTCAGAGGTGGCCTGCCCAACGCTACCTACCTGCCGAGGTGACGTGTGTACGCCTTCAGAGAAACCGTCTTCTATTTGCACTTCGGAAACCAAGCATTCTTTCGCGAAAGTCCCTGTCACTCCTCGAAACTACGAATTACATGCAAGAGGTCCTGCCGGCGGGCAGTAAATTCTGTCCGTCGCAGTCGGTCCGTAGGACTCTTCTGAGAAGAGTTTCCGCGATATGAGCGGAGCTGTGTAAATGTGCGTGCATCTCATGCTTCATGGATGGTGACATTTGCTTGGCGCCAAAAAGGGCCACACATGGGCTTACTGGCACCCTGCGTCAAGAATTTCTTACCGAAGAACCTGAACTATTCGATCTTTCAAACTCTCTTGTGGATACAACCACTGACCTGATTTATAGTCGGAGCCCCCGACTGGTGCGTCCACAGCAAGCCCCTATATCCTGCAGGCCCTCCAACTTCGCCCGATCTCCCAGGAACCCCCGTCCACCGCATACGTCAACTCACCTCGACTATCGGCACTTTAGTCACTAGACTGCAGCTGACACCACTAAAACGTGCTTCTAGGATGGAACTGTTGGCGCATTGTTGGGCTTTCTTGAACTAATAAGCTGCACGTCGCCTCGTGCGATGTCAACCCGCTCACAAGAGCTCGATGCAAGGGACTTTACCTTACCTACCAGAATCCTTCTTTGAGGAGGTGGAGAAAATTCAATGTAACCATCATCTTCTCTTGGAAGTTCTAGAAACCTTCAAGACGCTGATGAAGAATCCAGGAACATGCATTTTAGCTTCGCGTCCGCAGCCGCGTTTGCACAACTTCGGTCTGTCCTTGGCCGCAGGATGACGCCAAGCCTAGTCTCAAATGGACGAGATCTTTGGCGATTGCGCCGTGAGAGCCTCAAGCAAACATAGAATGTGTCAGTGAACAGATATACACTCATAATCGTACGAGCTGTACTATGAGTCTGTAGCTCGTTGTGCCACAAAGCGAAGGCATTCAACCAAAAGTCACAAACGAAGAGTTCTAGGTGCCGGCTGTGGATACAAAGGCTAGAACAACCTAGCCTTACATCTTGGGATCATAACAAACAAGAAACGGGTGCAATGAATCCTCAGCCTCACTTTTCGACCGCAGTGGCTCAACAAACATAAGCAAGCGAGGGGGTGCGGCCCGCGGCGAATAGCGTTGACATTCTCCACCCTCAACAAAGTAGGCTGCGAGGGATGACGGTGTAAAATGCCCTTCTCATTCGTCAATCGTGCTGTCAAATTCATGCGGTTGGCACCCGGAGGGAGGGATCATCCGAGGCTAGTACTCAAGTCGCCTACGGCCTTCATGGAGGATTCTTCAGGAAGCTGGGTACAAAGCATGTGTTGAGGCTGAGCTGGCAAAATGTCATGGAACTGATAGTTGCCTTGCAGGTACGCGCCTATCTCCAGCTACCAGTTCGGCTTCGTGACCTCGACAATTCCTAAATGAGCACAATAAACCGACGCGTACACACACTTACCATAACAGTCGACTGAAATTCGCGCAAGCATCCCCGAGGGCTGAATAGTGACTATTCATCGATGTTTCACAGCTCAGTTCGTGCCTACCATCCCCTGAGGGAGCGAGCCTCGTGCGGCCGTGCATGCATCTCAGTTGTGTATCATCGGACCGGCGTTATGCCATCCAACGGCCTGTATCCTTGTCGAACTTCCTTTCTTGTCCTCATGTTCGCACTGGTGGTCAGTGGTGCCGTTGTATATATAGTCCAAGGAGCCCCCGCTCGACGAGATGGCGTTATGACAGTCCTATCCATCTATCTACCATCCCCATCTATTTATCTATCACCTACCTTACTTACGATCTCCTTCAACATTTACTCTACAAAAAGATGTCTGCTCAGGTGGTCGCAGTTGATGTGGGTGAGTTCGGCAGCACAAACTTGCCATCTCGACGTGGACATGCATTGAGCTCCTGTGCCCTTGAGCTGCGGGCGCCCTGGTCAACGCCAGCGAACGTCAGCGGCAAGGAAGAGAACGTGGCACAAGATATTGTTGCCTCTCTTACCTCCCCATCCACCTCCCCATCCACCTGCATATCCTCTGCAGCTGGCCGCTACACTGGCGGTGAGTCCTCCCACCATCTCTATTCCCAGCGTCGTATTTCTCTCCCACAGCGCCTCAGGGAATCCCATTGGTCCAAGTTACTGAGACGATTTTCATTAGCAGTTGATTTAAATCTCCCCATTCCTCGCAGTTCGTGTGTTATTCGAATCCCAGGAATCAGTCGCTTGGCAGTTGACCTCAAACTGTCCACCACCCGCCTCCTCTTCAAGCTCTGCCTCCCAAAGACAAGCTGGCCCAACTTGATAGTGACAGCCGGTTATCAAGTCGTGCCCAACGACACTACCTCGTTCTCCACCTCCAGTGGCAGTCCTAGACGCCACACGCATAAAAAAGGCGTCCAGGCGAACCATGGAGGTGATGGAGGGGGTCAGCGCGAAGAGTGGCGAGGAGGACAGGGGGGCGGGGGAGGGCCATCACAGCGATTCCAAACCGAGCCCAGCGAAGCTTCCGAATATTGGGCATGCCCATTCTACAAGTTCGACCCTATAAGGCACTGGCGCTGCTATCGGAAATACAATCTCAAACGGCTGGCCGATGTCAAATCCCACGTCATGCGAGTCCATCTCATGAGCGAACTCTACTGTCCGAATTGCTTCCAAGAATTCGTCGATACGCAGGAATGGCGCCAGCATTGCAGCCACCCGGTGTTTGCCTGTCCTCAGGTCCAGGGGCCTGAGCCCCTTTTTCGGGAGGATTTCGATGCCCTCGGCGATGTGTTGGCATCCGCGCAGGGGTTAAGCGAGGCAGACAAATGGTACCTGATGTTCGACCATATCTTCCCCGCTGCTGTCTGGCACCGTCCAGCTTCTCCCTTCGTAAGCTTATCTTTCGACGAGCCACTCGGGGTTATGCGCGCGCATGCATCCAGACAGGAACAGCTGCACCGGAGCATTCTATCAGTGCTCCAGCGTCATCAGATCCCCCTTGGAGGAATGTCCGGGCCGAATGCGCTGCAAGTTGATCTCATGAATGCAGTGCTCCCTACGTCAGCATCGGCCATAACGACAACTCCGCCGTACCAGCGAGCGGTTCATCCATCTCGACTTGGTTCTTGGCATTTTGGAAACCCTTGAGATGAAAGGGCTGTAGAACTAGGGCGAACGGCACGTCGCTCAAATTACCACCATGGTGTTTACACCACTGGTACGCCGTGTTAGTCACAACTTCAAGGCGTTTTTTGTTTTAGATATCGCTCTCCGAGCCAGATTTATGTTATCTATCAGTGATTTCTATGTTTTAGCTTTCATAATTTAGTAAATGTGTTTGAATTTTCTATCATCGTCTTTGCAAGCATCATTTCTAAAGTTCTAGTCATCTCTAGCTAAGTCCCAGCATGGTACATATACGGAACAATGCCGTCCTGCCACATGCTTCACAGGCCTAGATGAACTCCCGAAGTCATACCCTGCGTAACACATGAAGATTTTTTCCAATTCGACGCCCATTCTTTCTCTTTAGGCTCAAGTGGTGTCATCCGGCTATCTTTTCGCCGTCATCGTTCTTGCGGGGAGACAGAGGAGCACCACAAAGACTAGCCCTTAAGGTGTTGATGAGAATTGAGGACATATAATGGAGGCCAGATCCTTCAGGGCGTGGATTGAGACAGCATTATCACAGTCTTTCCCCAATCCTCGCATTCGCGGTCGCAATCCAAGGTGTGTCCTCGTGATGGACCATACTGGGTCGATCCAGCTGTCATCACTCGAATCATTTTACCAGGGTGCCGGAGGGGCAGCTCAGATGCGATCCCACCTAAGGCGATGCTGGCACGTGTTACGGCCAAGACATTTATTATAATCTATACTTCATAAAATGCATGTAGCTTTGACTCTCGCTTGCGTGGCCATCGTGTCAGCTGCAACTGCCCTTTTTGGTTTGCCTTTTTCTTTTCTCTTCGTCTGCCACGGCTGCCTTCTCTTGTGCCTAATATCCGCCTATTTTCTGCCTTGCAACGGTGGAGGGTGTGATGGAGGCACCCCAACGGCGGGGAATGATTGACAGGTTTCCTCTTTCTCAACGAAGCATAGGCTTAACATACCAATATCGGAGACCGAGAGAAAACCTGTAGTGATAATCATGTGAATAACCAAGGCGTATTTGAGGATGGCACGCGGATTGCAGTCTGAGTAATCTGATGTCGAGGTCGGTATTGTTGCGCATAAGCTTTAAGCGAACATGCAGGCCCCCGAACCAATGCTAAGCCTCCATCGGTATCCTCTTGTAATTTCGGCACCGTGTTTTGCCCCCGCTACCGGGGATTCTGTCCTAGGGGAATTTGATTGTACACGATTGCCCCCAAGAGCAGCTGCTGTATGCTCAATATTCTTCGTCCTTGAGCTCTATATTTAATACCAGATCCTCGAGTTGACGAAGTTCGGATGGTAGAAATATCGGAAAATCGAAATTGGGCCCTTCGTTACGCCCGTGCCGAACCGACTTGATAATGACGCGCCATTCGAATCTAGGTCTCGAGATTCGGTTGGGCTCAGCATGCTAGCCATTGAAAATAACTGATGACTGTCCTTAGAAGTCGCGAATGTCTATATCGTTCGTTCTTGGGGAGGGTAAGGTCCATGGAGCTCTCGTTTCCGTGCTGACAATATCCCAAGAGATCTTCATCACGGTTAACGTTAGCAGAGCGATTGACTCTGCAACGAAATCGTTCGATTTTGGCCATCGAAACCCGCGAAAGTCAAGCTCAGCAGAAGATAAGCTGAGGAGGATTTAGTGCTAGTTCTTGTTGCAGAATTGTGCAGAATCACGGGCCAGAAACGTACCTTCATTAGATGCTGATATCCTCTAGGTTCAACAGAAAGTCACATTTGCATCGAGCAAGCCAGTGAAAGGCATCGCCATACTACCCTCGGGAAGAGAGATTAGAAAATACTCTCTCATTGTTGATATAGGTACGCACATGGACCTTCACAACCTCGGCTGTGGTAGCAAGCTTGCATATGATAGCGATTCCAGTATATCGAGAGGTTTGGGCCTACGCTAGGCCTGAGGCCCTCTATTAGAAAGCTCACGATAAGGAGAGCATTTGAAATCTGTCTTTATCACACTTACGGTGTGAGGTGGACTTTGCTATCGCCACACTAGTACACCCGCAATACCATCGGGCAAAGTTGATAAAGAGGCTGTGAGGTATGCTGGAATGGTTGAGAAGTTTAGCTGAGCACATCTTGGGAGAGCAGCAACAGGAGTGTTGATGTGGATGTCAGGTTCGTCCAGCCCGACAGTTGAATGCTCGCCAGGGGGTGAGAGAATTCGAGTACAAAGTAAAAAACAACAATGAAGATGCCAGACCCGACATATCAACGCAATGAATACGAAAGGTTGATCCTTCAATGTCGGCTCTTCCAATGCTATCATAAGGAAGCAGAATTCGGTAAGCGTTGGATTGTTCACCCACAAGACACACTGACTGAACTGTTTAGTGATTCAGTCTCGTGCAATACCGTTGCAGGGGAGTCCGGTAACATTGTCGTCATGTCATCGTCAACCAGATCGAGCGTAGAAAGTGTTGATTCAAGGCTTCTCTTCATTCCCACTCTGATAGATAATGGCTGAACGCCTCCAAGTCAGAATCCATGCCAGAAAGCGGTGATACCACCCGCAAGTACAGATTCTTATGGCTGGGTGGCTGGATAATGAAGGACGAGAGATCCTGTTCGCAGTGAGGCGGCAGTGGGATTGCTTGTTTGGCCAGGTAGCCAACATGGGTGCAGCGCCAGCTTGTCCGCTTCGGCCCAAGCACCTCCTCCAAAGCCCTCCCCAGCTGCAGCCAGATTCTTTTCTTCTCTCCTACTTCGGGTCGACCTTTCTTCGTTGTTGGCGACTTTTATGCCTTGATGAAGAGGTTCGAACGGATAACGAGAAGAGACTTCTATCCCTTCACGATTTCGAACTATATACATAAAAGACAAGTCAGCGTTCATTCTCCGATTAGCACAGCGAACCAGCTTCTCGAGGTACTCGTCTCCGAAAGCTGAATAGGGAGTATAGCCTTACATTATTTAAAGTAAACTCCTAGGTAAACCTTCCGGTTGCTGGAGTTATATGCGTTATTAATAGGGATAGGCACTCGCCAGTGGAGACCGTTGGGAGAAAACTGCAGCCACCGCACGTAGTCCGACATTGCACGTTTCAGTTTTGGGGTGCTTGGTTCGGGATGATCACCCAAGTGAAGAAAAGGGGAGGGAATTAGTTGTGAGTGCTGCTTTTCCGCTATATCTATGCTCGCGTCACAGGAGACGGTTGACCATGCAACAAGTCGAAATGTCGCCGCAGAGAGGAATGGCAAGCGCTTCAGTTGATAATCGGGTGAGGTATGTGAGATGTACACGGTAGAACATCTGAACAGACATTATTCGAATCGTTCGGAGGGGAGTTCGAGTACAGAGGAAAAACAGCCATGAAAGATGCCAGGCCCGACATCTCAGCACAATGAATAATTCGAATCGCCCTATTGAGATGTTTGTTTAGACTTCACTTGTTCCCAATAGTTTGAGTAAAATGAGGTGTCTTGCCCTTTCCATGGGGAACTCAATCTTAGCAAAACATAGGTCGCCACGGCTAAGTTCGTGATGCTGGACAGTAAGATGGTCTGTGACACCGTGAGGAATATGCCGGAAAGGGTAGGAAGCTCCATGGTGGATGGCCTCTTGATACACACCATCAAATAAAGAGGCCAGATTCAGGGCAGATGCGAGATTCAACCGTACTGATTACTGCGTCACCGAAGTACCCTCCTTGCCGAAGCTCTCTAGGGTTTCCTTAATAGAGTGCCTAGGAAAAGCGATTACCATAAGCATTAGTAGAGGTAAATAACCGGGGAAAACGCGGGTCGATGTAGCTTACCTCGCGGCACTGATGATCATCACGAGAATCAACTCTCGTGAAGCCTTACCCGTTGCAACAATCGACAGAGTTGCAACTAGGGAATAAAAGCAAAGAAACCCAGGTCCTGTTTCTTGTTTCTCTTCCTGCCCTTAATCTGCGAACCATTTGAGGAGCTGACTGTAATTAAAAAGTAGGCTCTGGCTCTATCCCTGGGGGTGATTGTCTCGCGTGTTGCTCGAGTATTGGTGTCACAAGCGAGCCAAGCCCATGTTGATGAAAGGGATGGTCTTCCAATTGGGCTCGAGCGCGTGGGGGAAGGTTGGCTGAAAGCGTAGGGCAAGTGAAAGGATGCCGTAAGGTTTGTACTCGTCGTATTTGGGCTTTTAGTCACTCGGTGTTGCTGATCCGTTGAACGTGTGTATTTATGTCGGGATGAGAACCAGGGGCAGTGCGCTGTCCGGAACTGCTCATTAGTAGAATCGCTCCTCTCTCTCTCCCGCTAAGTGCAAGACGGGTTCTTTTCATCGGATCCGACCTAGGGGTTTCCGAGGTAGTAGTTAGTACGGTGGTGCCGGCTAGGAGAGAAATTTCCCTTACCGATGGCTCTACTCTGTTGGCAAGCACTGCATCCTGTAAAGATGCGGCGAATCGGTCACCATGCTGCTGTTGACGATGATTGAGGCTCAGAAACAAATGCTGTCCAACATCTTGCGCTGCGAGTGAGAACAAGGGGGGAGCAAGAGGACGAGGTCAGGTCGGAATAGATGAAAAATGAGATGATTAGTTGCCAAAAGTGTGCGTCCTGGGGGATGAGGAAGGCGGGCTTGGGACACTCCTAATGTTAGCGAGTCTTCGGCTCCTGTCGCTCGGAACAGAGCCCACTACCTACCGCAGGTAGCGAGTGACCCGGCTGTTGCGGTCCTGACATTTAGGAGACTTGAAACCAGCTTTTAGATTCGTGAGAACGAGCTTCTTGCTTATCGCGTTCTGTTTTCGAGGAGTGCAGGGGCGACCGTGGAAGTAGTTTAATAACCTGTTTGTCTAGGAATCAGTTGAGTGAAATCGGTCGGGATCTTCGGTTCGGCTGGGTTTACCAGTGGGATGTACAATGCTACCCCTGAAAGTTTGAACCAGGGTGACTTCCCACAACAACAGGTGGATCGCCACGAGCCAGTCATAATTCTCATCGCGAATATAGTAGGGCGTAAGAAGTATATAGTTTAATAAGAGA